GTGGTCCGGATCGGCACAGGACAGGCTGGTGTCACCTCAGGTGATGCTTTTCACGGAGTGTGTTGGTGTTGTGTTCGTTTTGCAGGTCGGGCAAACGGAAGGGATGTGACACCGGTTGTGCTCTGTCAGCCCTTGAATGGTGGCGGCCACCTTTGCACACTTGAACCCTGTGGCCTGTGTTGCACGTCTGTAGTGTTAAATTGGCAGCAGCTAAGAGGACTATAATCAACTATAATTGTACTTAGTACACGTACAGGTTTTTAATGAATAGATTACTTAATCTCTGAATTATTACAGGTTCTCCGTTTTCATGCAGTCTACCCCGTCAGTCTTTGGCCCTTAAATTTTGGATCAGCTGTGGATTGTGACTATTTGGTATCTCAGAAACTGAAGCACAAGGTTTCAGGTTAATAAGTTGGAATTGTAGGCCTCCCTTGTGTGACCAGAGGGGTATTTGCATTCAAATAATACTATTCCACTTATCTCGCGGAGCATTACATGTTCGAAAGGTTACGTATTTGTCTGTAATTTGAAAAGTAAATAAGGAGACTTTTAATTCTACATGTAAAAATACATAAATGACAGGTGCTTACTGTGCCTAAACCAGACTTTCAAAGTTGTCTGAATATACAGAAGTGTATTTGAACTTAGTGTCAGCTGTGGGTGCTTGAAAGTAAAGAATAACAAGTGCTTACATGTTGATTGGCAGGTGACAGAGCTGGTACAAATAAGCCCTTCATTATATTTACAGCTAAAGCGTTCGTCTACTGTCTTATGAAGCATTTATTTCAAAATCAGGCTAGGTCTCCCCTAAATTTCCACTCTTGAGCTGCAGTTGTAGGCCTCATTTTGTACCAATTCTCATGGAAACCCCAAAAGCCAGCTAAAGATAGACTTGTGCAGTTCGATGTCGGAGTAAATAGAACGAATACAAAATGGAAGTGAGATCTTCTTTTAGTGGTAATTAGTTTTTGATTTAGCTTGTAACTCATGTAACTTCACCCTTGCATCTTGTCAAAATTAGTTGTGTTGTGTTTTACGTGTCTGTTTTGTGTTTTTTTTTTTTTTTTTTTAAAGATAAAAAGGGGAAGAGAGTAGTGGTAGTTCACAGACTAAGTACTTCCTGGTTTATCTGCCATCTTTTTTTTATGCAGCATCTTTAATGCAGATATCTTGATGTGTCATAATACACCTTGGCCATTAGCTGCTGAAAGTAGCCGTATAGTAGTTTAATTCAACCCATTCTATGAATGGGAGCCAATCATCGAATTATAAATTGTAACGGAAAAATTACTCACATTTCCTACAAATAGCGTGCACAGCGTAGTAACCACTTTGAACTTTTGATAAGAACTTTTATCAAAAAAATGCCAGTGACAGAAAGATACAGAAAGGAAAATGTTAACCAAAAGAAACAGAAAAGGCAGCCATCATCTTTTGACCTCTGTTTTCTTTTATTGCATTGACAAAACTTTATCCACGCAAAAAATACATGGTGGGAGACAAGTACAGGTGATCACTTAGGACAATATTAAAATAGAGATGCTTCGTCATAGTAAGCAACAGATGATGTTAAGAGGGGATGATATATGCATAGCTGAAATAAAGGATAACAGAAGCAAGTAAGAGAGCCCACAAAACCAACATGGCGTGTCATAGGATAAGTAAAATGGTAACTGACACTGAAAGGTAAATAAAAACTTGGAAAATACAATACATATGTAGAGAGATAAGAGATAGAATCCTTAAAATGCACGTATTGTTTAACTGCAAGATATCCCCCATTTGTTTAAGGAGGAGAAACAGGGTGTCCTTTCAGACCTTCTCTTGCGAACACTGAACATGCTTAACTTGAAACGCACAGTGGAAAGTTAAGCATGTGCCTGAGTGTTTGAGATTGGAATGGTAACCTGAGAGCTACTGTGAATTGGCTGTTTTAAGGCATGTAATTAGATGCAGAAGCGTAGCATCATTAAACTTAATCCCAAAAAACAATGCAAGAATAGTAACTTGCATGGCTTCATAAAGGCAGCTGTAGGGCTTTAACAGCATTAAGGCATTGTAGTAGCCACGGGAGAGAGGAATTCAGCATCTCTTTTGGGTCTATTAATTTATTCAATCGATTGAAGTGTGTTGGGATATTTTTTTGTAACTGGATAAATGGGAGGCCAACAACCTCATTCATCAGAATGCTCGAACTTGTTGCGTAGCCTCACTGAAGTCATTAGGATTATATAGATGCTTAAGTGACTTACTGAATCAAAGCCGTAAGTGACTTTTTCTTAGCACTGCTGCCATCGTACCGTAATTAAAAGGTCTTTAATGCTACGTACTCTTTAGCATTCTTTGGTTTGTTACATTTAGAGTATTTATGGGTTTTGAATACGATAACACTCTAAGGCAATTGAGAATATTTGAGATATCTGATCTTAAAATAATAATTTTGCTGAAATTCCTAGTAATACGAATGGGGCCTTAGTAAAGTAGAGTTGGTTTGGATCATAAACATAGATTATTTTTTGAACAATTATTTTTTTTTAATTTATTTTTTATTTCTTTATCTGTCAGGAACTGGTGTTTCTGTGTATTATCTGCTGTTAGTCTGTCAGGTATCTAAATCTGTCTCCTTCTCACAACTGTATGCACAAGCGTATTTTTCTTCTTTTTTTGTGCTCCTTGACTTGGATGTTTTTGGCCAAGTTTATTAAAACAAAAACTCTAGTTCATGCTAGGAAGGCATTTTATCTTTGCAGCAAGTTCTTTTCAGTTGTGAAATGTAACTAAATAAGGTGATAACCTGATCTGCATGACAGAAAATCTTGAAAGACTAATAATTTCCTTTCTCTTAAGTACTTGACTTGAGATCTGAAATAATTACAGAGCTATAGTTGCTGTGAACCCTTACTGAGTATTTATGTTCTAGAGAGTGGCTCATGAAGTAACTGTAAAAGTTTCTTACTTTCTCATACTGTAAATACTTTCCCTTTTTACATTTTGGGTCAGACCTGTTTTTTTCCACCAAAATGATTTGTTTTACAAAGCCTAAGAGAACTTGAGCTAAGGTGGAATCAGTTTAGGTTTTTCAATAATATTAGAGTTCTGTTAATAAATTGCCAAAAATACCCCTTTTGCTTACTATCATGCAAGAGTTGGCTGTAGAAAATTGGACAACCGGTATTTAGAGTACAATAAGCAACCCAGAACATACCAGTCCTGCAAATGAGGTAAACTGGACAAAGCTCTTCAACAACCTCCAGGATTATAAACTCATAGTAATGAAAATGTGTAAATGCGGTCTGTTGGGAAGCAGCACAGAGAGAGCCCTGCTTTGGCCCTGTGTTGCTTTTGGTGCAAATGCAGTTGTGTTGTTTCCCACCTGTCCTGCTGTAAGCTGCTGAAGCCCTACAGTACTCTTTTTCTAGGAAGAATATATATGAGATGCTTGAACACTGTAAAGTGAGTAGAAAGTCTTAGACAGCAAAGGATGTTAATTTTATCAGCGATGAGCCAAAGCAGTCACTGACACAAACAGGTGCAATTCAGGCGCTTTGGAGGACTTGCATTTGCTTGTGCTAATAGTTGATTTGCCCTCAAGTTCCTAAATCATCAAGTAGCCTGTGAACTGTGGTTGTGTTACTGCTTTTGTCTTTACTGTGTTCGGGAAGTCTGGTTTCTTACATTTCATACGGAAAATAAACAGTTGCATCTTACCATAGAATGTGAAAACCAAAATGACTGCAAATGTGCCTGTGATTAGGACATTTGAAGGGCTGAAAGGACTAGTAATTCAATATGATGAATACTGTCATGTCTCTGTGACCCTTAGCATCTTATCCCAGTTTCTGTCAGGGTGATGAAATTAATCCCTATTGTGTATGTGCACGTGTTTCGGATCAGATGAGGACTAAATGTTCTTCAGCTTTTTTTTGTTGTAATTGTGTTTGATGTTTTGTATTGAGTGGCTGTGAAGAAATAATAAAGAAATCATTACTCGGACTGCTTCCTAAAGGATCGTTTTCCATCTGAAAGGTTTTAACAATTGAATAAAATCCATGACTGAATTAATATGCATGGATTTTGTTCAGTGCTTGTGTCAGCTCTCTTCCCTACCCCCGTTTCCCACTAAATAGGACTTTTTAGAAGTGGTGCTTTCATTAAAGGCATTATGAAATTCTGGTTTTCATTGTCATTATTGGACTCTGGAAGGGCTGTGAGAATCAGTTGCTACCTCAGTGTTGTTTAGCAGAGCTATACTATTTCTAACAATTATTTTAGAAAAATGCAAGAGATCCTTGTTAAACAGTGCAGTGTGCTTTCTGGATTGTTATTGAAGCTTGGACTTGCTGTGTCTCAACAAGGTTGATGAGTGCTTAGAATTAGAGCAAATTAAAACTTCACAGAGACACTGTGCTGCTGAACTCTTGATGATGCTTTCCAGTGGAGTAGAACCTGGGCTGTATTTCATGTGTTGGCTTCCTAGGAAATCTGTGAGGAGAGCTCAGTGTCTGAGCTTGGGTTGGGTGTTTAGTCTTCTAGTTAGTAATTGGCCAGTTCGCATTGGAAGCGAGTGTTATGAGGTCAGTGCCCATCTTTATTCCCAGGACAGCAGCCTTCCCAGACGAGGTTACCTTTACTTACTCCCTGCTTTCCCTTTTGAAGCTGTTTGGCCATCCAACAGGTAATTCAGGAGCACCCAAGGTGGAGGTGGGAAGCAAAAGAAGCAGTGCAAGTCTAATGGCCGAGTTGCAGTGTGCTCATGTCATGGAGGTGCTTGTGGTTGCTGTTGGTAAGGTGGGTTGTCATCTCTTTGGAACCTGGTTCTTCCCTCTCCACAGCGGGGGAGGCATCAAAACCAGACTTCATCAAGGCAGGGTGAAGGTTCATCTTCTAACTGCTTTGTGTTGGTAGATGTGAGTGACGGGGTCTGACTCCCCTCGAGATGGGGACCCATTTCCCAGGCAAATGCCATAACCGGAAGGTCAAAAGGAAACATCAGTTTTCACCCTTCTCCAGTTGTGTTTGGAAAGAGAGTGTTGACAATTGCATTTTGACAGGAGCCTGGTTTTGTGAACCTGCCCTTGAGTTCCCTGAGCTCTCCTCCCAGTCTGGCAGCTCAGGAGCAGGAGAGGACTGGGACAGTATGGGAGCTGGATGGGAAGATGCAGAGCTGCAGGCAAGGCAAACCTCCAAACTCAGGTGGTAGCTGAGCAGCCTCCAAGGGCTTGTGCTCTCCTAGTTCATTCCACCCACTTGTGTTGCTGCTTTGCTAAACTATGTTAGCTGTTGTGAGGCATGCTGAGAGTTTAAGATAATCATCGCTTGTCATTTATTTGTGATGGTAGAAATAATGAAATAAAGGTTTTGGGGGAGTGATAGAAATTGGGGGATTGGTGCGCTGTAAAGATTGAAAAGAAACTGGAGAACTTAGTGAAGTGAATCACTTTTGTGTGGTAAACTTTTGAAAGAAGCCCAGTGAAATTTTTCTGATGTGATACTGAATCTGTGAAGGCAGTTTACCCTGGCTCATCTCATTAGAGATTTCAATGCACAGCTGTCTCCAGGTGTGTATATCTTTTATAGTGTACAACAAAGTCCTGTGTGTTACGGTAGCAGAAATTAAGTGATACCTGCTAAGCCTGAGGGATGCGGCTTTCAAACTGAGATGGATGCCTAATTTTAGACTCTTACGTTCAACTGTGGTGCGAGGCAGCAAAAATAGATACACTAGGTATGTAAGCTTTGTGCTCTTTCTTTTTTAGGTATTGCAAAAGTTATATTTGCATATATTTTAATTTTTGTTCTGTCTGCCTTTGGCTGTCATTCTGAAGGTGAAGTCCTTCATGACTCAGGTTCGTTGGGATATCAGCTAGAGTTCTGGTGTGCTGCAGATTTGGCTCTGGGGCAATCTGGAAAGAATTTGGTATGGGATATTCCACATTCACTGGTCCTGATCATCCCCCACCTCCTGCCCGAGATATGGAAAATAAAATAAATTAAAACTGAGGTCTGTTAGCATTTTTAGAAATCCAGTATCAGCTACCTGAATCAAAACTGCTGTTTGGGTTCATAAATCAGAAGCTTTGTGTGGAGATTTGCCTGGCACATGTTTTCTAACTGGCAAGTCACAACTGAATCTGAATTTTATATCAGCATTATCTAATACAGTCTGCAATTTAAAACTAATATGTATGTTTACATTTTGAGGTTAGCTACATGTATTTACAAAAATCCTAAAAAGTCAAGTATTTGTTAGGTAGGAAAAGCGAAGGAGTCAAAGGGCAGGTTAAATGCACTTATAAATTCTGATTCCAAGTATTTGGCCAGTAAGTTTTAAAATCATGGTTTGATTTTAAAAATTTCTGTTTAAATATATTTTAAGTTGAATATCTTAAGATTTTTAGTATATTCAATTCTTAATATAAGTTGTCCTGATTTTGTATAATTTGTTATATCTGAAAATACGAATGGTATTTATCACAGTTTTTTTAATTCCACTTTTTTTTTTTAAACCTGCCTGAGTTTTGTGCACTTTCTTCTTTTTGCATTTAATTGTGTTTTGGTAGATACTGGGCCATGGAGTTGTACAGTGCTCTTCCATGCCCTTTCCTTCTGCTTACATAATATGTGCAGATCTTTTATGTAAGGATGATTGTTAATTGAGAAGTTTTTTCTCCTGGTACTCTACCATCAGACACTGTTCTTGCTAAGAGGAGATTCTATTCATAGTTAAACATTTGACTCCAATTATTTCAAACTATTTACCTCAGGCTTACAGGGTATCCTTTTTTTCTCAGTTTTAGTTGTGTTAGATAAAGTAGGCTCAGATGTCAGGGATTTTGACATTACAATTATGAGGAAGCAAGTCTTCTCAGGGGAAAAATATTCTTTAATCTTTGTTCTGTCAATTTGAATTTATACTATGAAGAGATTTGGGATAAAAAAAACGGGGAAATTATTTTCTTCTTTTGTTCATTTCAGTTCAGTCACATATTACTTGTCATGTTCCCTGTTATAACGAACTCTTCAGTGTGGGACTAGGAAATCATCAAGTTTATGCTAGTTTGATTTTTAAATGTAAAATTAGCTACCCGTGATTTGGTCAAGCCTGTATTTGAGCACATAACTAGTGAAGAAAAATAATTATTTTGGATGACTTTGAACTGTATTGTGGTGGTTGCATAATTTTTCCTCTGGAACTTATGGATTGACTTGAAGAGTTACCCTGTCCCATTTTCTAATGCTACTTGGGAATCTGAGGGCACTCGTGTATCTTTTTGCATAAGCAAACATAATGCACAGTCCCCAGCAAGCTGCAGGTGAAGTGGCTCATGCACACGCTGTGGTGATGTGCAGATATTAGAATGATTTTTAACAGTGGCTATTTTTTGAGGCTGATTAAAGTTTGTGTTCAGATCTGGAGCTAGATTAGTTGCAGCTAGCTCAGATACCTCCCTGCATGTTCTCTTTTACTGTGTAATGATTCCTTTGCCTGATATTGGAACTTCATAGTGCTTAAATTCTAAATACTTACTGAAAATGGTGTGTGGATGAGCTTTGAAAAAATCCTATTCCACAGTCACAGGCAGAGGACGTGGAGGTTTCTTAATCATCCTCTTTCCCATGCGTGTCAACTCATTGATAACTTCACACCAGTTTTGTACTTGATACGAATGCTTGTGCGAGTATGCGAGTATTACAGATACAATCAACTCCTCCTTGAAGTCCTTGGCATTTAGAAGCAAAGTTCCTTTTTTCTTTTTTAATACCTGTCTTTGTCAGTGACGTAGACAGTGGGACCAAGTACACCCTCGGCAAGTTTGCAGATGACACCAAGCTGAGTGGTGTGGCTGACAGGCCTGAGGGACAGGGTGGCATCCAGAGGGACCTGGACGGGCTCAAGAATTGGGCATGTGTGAAACTCATGAGGATCCTGCACCTGGGTCAGAGCAAACCCTGGTATCAATACCCTCAAGTCTGGGAGATGAAGGGATTGAGAGCAGCCGTGCCGAGAGGGACTTGGGGGTACTGGTGGATGAAAAGCAGGACATGAGCCGACAATGTGCGCTCGCAGCTCAGAAAGCCAGCTGTATCCTGGGCTGCATCAAAAGAAGTGTGGCCAGCAGGTCAAGCGAGGTGATTCTGCCCCTCTACTCTACTCTGGTGAGACCATACCTGGAGTACTGTCCAGCTCTGGAGCCCTCAGCACAGGAAAGATGTGGACCTGTTGGAGTGGGTCCAGAGGAGGGCCACAGAAATGGTCAGAGGGCTGGAGCACCTCTCCTTTGAGGACAGGCTGACAGAGTTGAGGCTGTTCAGCCTGGAGAAGAGAAGGTGCCAGGGAGACCTTTTTGCAGCCTCTCGGTACTTAAAGGGGGCCTACAGGAAAGATGGGGACAAACTTGTTAGTAGGGCCTCTTGCATTAGGACAAGGGGTAATGGCTTTAAACTAAAAGACAGAAGATTTAGACTAGATAGAAGAAATATCTTACAATGAGGGTGGTGAAACACTGGAACATGTTTCCCCGAGAGGTGATAGATGCCGCATCCTGGAAACATTCCAGGCCGGGCTGGACAGGGCAATGAGCAACCTGATTGAGTTGAAGATGTCCCTGCTTATTGCAGGGGGGTTGGACTATGTCACCTTTAAAGGTTCCTTCCAACCCAAACTATTTTATGATTCTATTATAAAGAGCTCTAGCTGGAGGAATACTGTGAACTACCGTGAGGTTTACTGCATCTGACTAGTGTGAGGTGCACAAAGGATAACATTTCCAGAATGGGCTTAATGTACCAAGGCACCGTAGCTTCTATTTTGGGGGGATGAATGGGATGGGACAGGGACACTATGTATTTTCGACTACAGAAGAGTAATAAAGTAAACAATAGCTACATTAAATGTGGGTCACTTTTTCCTTTCTTCGAAGGAAATTACAAAAATCTGTGGGAAGAAATCTTCAGAGGTGCCAAAGGATTATAAGGGAGACTGTTGCTCTCTTAATGACACAGGTGGAATACTTCCTTCCGCTCTTGTACTGGAAGGCATATTCAGGTTTTGCGTAATACCAAGATGCCAGATGTTCAGAAAAACTCTCCTGTTGAAATCTCACCTTATAAATAATCTTCTTTCACATATGCTATATATATTTGAAATAGTTGTGGTACTTGTTAAAAAAATGTGATTACTGGTAATTTATGGTAAAAGTTATTTAGATGCTCTAACCCAAGTGGTCACTGCTTGTAATTGTGGGTCGCTCTATGGTCCATGCTATAGGACTGCACTGTAATCGAAAGCAAGTCATTTGCAGAAAGTAAATGGTTTAGGCACTGAAAAGTCAGATTTATTTAGAATTTAGATGCCAAAATCTTTAAATTATGTTCATGATAAATCCTGCTTTATTTCTGTCACCAAGACTGAAACAGTTAAGTTATACAGATGCCTTTGGGGTTTTTTTTTTTGTTTGTTTGTGGGTTGTTTTTTTTTTAAGGTTCCTCAGATAGCTAGAGAGTCTAGTCAGGAATGAAGTAATTGTGTGTGCCTAAAGCAAAGTTCCCAGCCCATGTATAGCCCTGATCCGAATCTAGAAGCAAAGCTCTTGAATCTACAAAGTACTGTCAAATGGTATTTAGCATATGCTGGCAGGACTGCAGACCTCAAAAGAAGTTTTAGCTCTTTTTTTTTTCCTGTTTAAACAAACAAACAAAGAAAACCCAGAAGGGAATAAATTATTTTACCTTTTTTTAACTGAACGAAGCAGAACACAAACTCACCTTATAGGATGCATCAGTTCACTTCTCTCTACATACACATATTCCCACCACTTCTTTGAAAAAGATGATTTAGCAGTTTGTTTTCAGAAGAGAGAATCCCCGCTCCATAGATGTACCTTCTAATAGCACTGAGCAGCGTGTTAGGACAGGGTAGGATTTAAGATGTGCATCTACTTTTGGTGGGCTGGATTCTGGCAATTCAAAGCTGGCAGGCTCAGTGTCACAGATGTTGGGAATCCCCTGCTGCAGCACTGAGCTCCCTCAGCAGCCAAGAGCTCCTGTTTCTGATTGATGTGCCATGGGTAACCACTGGAGTGGTTTTGTTGAATCTGGTCTGGGACTGTTGTTAGTTTAAATAAATATAAATTAACTGAAATTGTCTTGACGTACTTAGTATTGTGGAAACTTGCTTTCTCTGAAATTAGCCTTTTGCTCCGATTAAATATTCCAGTTTTTATGGCTGTTTCCCAGAACTACTTTGCTCTACCACGTGCCCCTTCTCTAAACAATAATCACCACCTGAATAGCCCTCTGAATGAGATGCTGCAAAACTATACACATCACTATCTAGGTAATGTTAGACTGGTGTGAATAAAGCGGTTTGTAATCTGCTTTAAATCACCATCTGAGGCTTTGGGGAGGACTGTTTGCAAGTCTTTTTTTATGCTCAAATACAAAAAGTAGTCAAATATGCAGAGAACAAAAGACTCTAAAGCTGTATTTTTACTGACATATATATTATAAATTTCATTAGAAATATTAATATATATTTTCATTAGCTCACAAGGTTCCTTTAAGATTTTATGGATTCTGATTCTTCCAGAAGCTTTCCCTTAATTCAGGGGTCATTTATCTTTAATTCGGCTGAGAAACTGTAAAACCTTTACATTCAGCATCAGAACTAGACTACTTCTATACATATAGCTAGTGCCATTGAATGAAGCATAACCACTCATGTTTATAACAGTTTGTCAATTTAGACCATAGGACTAAAAGCTAGGAAGAAAGCAAAAATGTACAGACTTCATGCTTAACATAGGGGCTTCACATTCAGTCCTGTATAATCCGTATATGTTCCTAATACAGTCTTCTTACAAAAAGGAAATAAAATGGCAGTAACTGGTTTTGTTGGTGGTTTTTTTTTAAGTTTTC